CTCTCTCTCTCTCTCTCTCTCTCTCTCTCTCTCTCTCTCTCTCTCTCTCTCTCTCTCTCTCTCTCTCTCTCTCTCTCTCTCCCTCTTTTCCTGGTTTATCCCTTCCTCCTGATAGACCGACTCGCTAATCGGCTTCGTGAGAATAGGAGTATGATCTTCGTGTACGCTGTGTGATACTAGTATATAAGGACTAGAGGTGACTAGTAGGATACGCGCTCATCCTGTCCCCTKACGATTTCGCCGCTGGCGGGCGAATGAAACGCGTAGGGACCTTGCCAGGATGGCTCTCGGTGCTACTTGAGATATCTTATTGGAGTGCCATCAATTTGTTCGCGCGTATCTTTGTCTCCATGGCTTTTTTCATCCTAACCATCTCTCTCTCTTTTTCTCTATCCCCTACTTCACTCTCCTTATCTGCCCTTTGTATATGCATCTGCTCTCGACTCTTCTCATAAGTCTATCTCTCCCATCTGTCTATTCTGATTCCTCAAATTGAATGTTGTCGGCCAATATGCTGATCGCTCTCTCTTACATCTAAGAAAACATTAAGTTTTTTTTTTTTGGTCGGAAACAGAACAAATATAATAAAAAGAAAAAAAAAGAAAAAAAGAGAAACAAAAGGACACGCATTGACACTATCTTGCTATCCGACGAGCGGGCGCGTTCAGATAACAAAAAGAGAAAAGAATACAAAAAAAAAAATATATATATATATATATAAAATCAAAAAGAAAAAAAGAAAAAAAAAAAAGGGTCGGGGCACGAAACGACACTTTCTTGCTATCCGACGGCGGGCGTGTTCAGATATTAATGCGCATCGACGCCCGCCGTGTACCCGGCCCCGTGGGCGCTCTCTCTCGTTTAGTGGCACGCTGTGATCAATTCGGTACGCGCGCCACTCTGCACAACACCCCTCCCTCGATCGCCTTCATCCGTCGGCCGGAATCAAAACTTTGGGCCGACTCCAGCGCGCAGCGGAACACGACCTCCCCCCCGCGGGCCCACCGCGGGCCCACCGCGCTTAAGGGGTAGGATATATATATATATATATATATATATATATCGTCATATATATATATATATATATATATCTCCTGATGAGTCAGTGAAACTCCGACGAAACAGTTTGTCACAGCCCCTCGTTTGTTGTTCTCTTCTCTCTCTCTGCCTACGGTTTACCGAGCAGTTCTGTTTGTGATGATATATATATATATATATATATATA